CGCCATTTCCGTGGGCTCCTGGGAGGCCCAGCGGAGTTCGGGTACACGCAGATCACCTCGGGACCTCGCTCCGCCTGGGGGGGTGCGATGTGCGCAATTGTCGCCACTTTCGTGGGCTCCTGGGAGGCTCGGCGGAGTTGGGGTACACGCAGATCACCTCGGGACCTCGCGGCGCCTGGGGGGTTGCGATCTGCGCCTCTGTCGCCACTTTCGCGGGCTCCTGGGAGGCCCAGCGGAGTTGGGGTACACGCAGATCACCTCGGGACCTCGCTCCGCCTGGGGGGGTGCGATGTGCGCAATTGTCGTCACTTTCGTGGGCTCCTGGGAGGCCCAGCGGAGTTCGGGTACACGCAGATCACCTCGGGACCTCGCGGCGCCTGGGGGGTTGCGATCTGCGCAACTGTCGCCACTTTCGCGGGCTCCTGGGAGGCCCAGCGGAGTTGGGGTACACGCAGATCACCTCGGGACCTCGCGGCGCCTGGGGGGTTGCGATCTGCGCAACTGTCGCCACTTTCGTGGGCTCCTGGGAGGCCCAGCGGATTTGGGGTACACGCAGATCACCTCGGGACCTCGCGGCTCCTTGCGGGGGGAGCTGCGAACTGCGCAATTGTCGGCACTTTCGTGGGCCCTTGGGAGGCCCAGCGGAGTGGGGTTACACGCGGATCGCGTCGGGATCTCGCGGCTCCCTGCGGGGGGAGCTGCCAATTGCGCGATTGTCGGCACGTTCGTGGGCTCCTGGGAGACCCAGCGGAGTGGGGTTACACGCGGATCGCGTCGGGACCTCGCGGCTCCAATTGCGCAACTGTCGGCACTGTCGTGGGCTCATGGGAGGCCCAGCGGAGTTGGGATACACGCAGATCACCTCGGGACCTCGCGGCGCCAGGGGGGTTGCGATCTGCGCCTCTGTTGCCACTTTCGTGGGCTCCTGGGAGGCCCAGCTGAGTTGGGGTACACGCAGATCACCTCGGGACCTCGCGGCGCCTGGGGGGTTGCGATCTGCGCCTCTGTCGCCACTTTCGTGGGCTCCTGGGAGGCCCAGCGGAGTTGGGATACACGCGAATCGCGTCGGGACCTCGCGGCTCCCTGCGGGGGGAGCTGCCAATTGCGCAAGTGTCGGCACGTTCGTGGGCTCTTGGGAGGCCCAGCGGAGTTGGGATACACGCGGATCGCGTCGGGACCTCGCGGCTCCCTGCGGGGGGAGCTGCCAATTGCGCAAGTGTCGGCACGTTCGTGGGCTCCTGGGGGGCCCAGCGGAGTCGGGGTTACACGCGGATCGCGTCGGGACCTCGCGGCTCCCTGTGGGGGGAGTTGCCAACTGCGCAATTGTCGGCACGTTCGTGGGCTCCTGGGAGGCCCAGCGGAGTTGGGATACACGCGGATCACTTCGGGACCTCGCGGCTCCTTGCGGGGGGAGTGCAACTCGCAATTGTCGGCACGTTCGTGGGCTCCTGGGAGGCCCAGCGGAGTTGGGATACACGCGGATCACTTCGGGACCTCGCGGCTCCTTGCGGGGGGAGCTGCCAACTCGCAACTGTTGGCATTTTCGTGGGCTCCTGGGAGGCTCAGCGGAGTTGGGGTACACGCGGATCGCGTCGGGACCTCGCGGCTCCCTGCGGGGGGAGCTGCCAACTGCGCAACTGTCGGCACTTTCGTGGGCCCTTGGGAGGCCCAGCGGAGTGGGGTTACACGCGGATCGCGTCGGGACCTCGCGGCTCCCTGCGGGGGGGAGCTGCCAACTGCGCAACTGTTGGCACTTGCGTAGGCTATTGGGAGGCCCAGCGGAGTGGGGTTACACGCGGATCGCGTCGGAACCTCGCGGCTCCCTGCGGGGGGAGCTGCCAACTGCGCCGCAACTGTCGCCACTTTCGTGGGCTCCTGGGAGGCCCAGCGGAGTGGAATTACACGCGGATCGCGTCGGGACCTCGCGGCTCCCTGCGGGGGGAGCTGCCAACTGCGCAATTGTCGGCACTTTCGTGGACTCCTGGGAGGCCCAGCGGGGTGGGGTTACACGCGGATCGCGTCGGGACCTCGCGGCTCCTTGCGGGGGGAGCTGCGAACTGCGCAATTGTCTGCACTTTCGTGGGCTCCTGGGAGGCCCAGCGGAGTGGGGTTACACGCGGATCGCGTCGGGACCTCGCGGCTCTCTGCGGGGGGAGCTGCCCATTGCGCAACTGTCGCCACTTTCGTGGGCTCCTGGGAGGCCCAGCGGAGTGGGGTTACACGCGGATCTCGTCGGGACCTCGCGGCTCCCTGCGGGGGGAGCTGCGAACTGCGCAATTGTCGGCACTTTCGTGGGCTCCTGAGACGCCGAACGATCGCTCCAGGACGTTCAAGGTGGGCCCCAGACGACCCAAGAGGCTTCCAAGACGCTCCAAGAGGCCTCAAAAGGCTTCATGGGAGGGCCCCGAGAGGCCAAAACCACGGATTTTACTATGGTTTTTGAAGGATTTTGGCCTTCTCGTCTTTTCGGCTTTCCGGAGCTACAGGACGGCTCAAGAGGCACCCAATATTGCCCCAAGACGGCCCAAGAGGCTTCCCAGAGGGCCCGAAGACTGCCCACGAGGCCCCAAGACGGCCCAAGACAGCCACTCTAGCGAAGAGTACCGACTATCGGGATTTGCCAGGGATTCCCGAAAGTTGAAGCCGATGGGATTTGTCGGCAATCGCCGCGCTTGACCCTCAAGCGCGGCGTTTGCCAAGAATGCAATGGTCGTCGCTTTCGTGGGCCTCTTGGACGTCCAGCGGATGTTCAGCTATTTTGAAAGCGCCAGTTGATAATGCCACCTGTTGCCAGAGGGTTGGGTACGTCCCTGGGTAATTGGTTCGGCGGCCTTATTGAAGAACTGGGGTCCCACCATTAGGGGGTAACAGGAGGAGGAGGAGGAAAAGGAGGAAAGGGAGGAGGAGGAGGAAAAGGAGGAGTGGGAGAGGGGAGACGAGGAAGAGGAGGATGAGGAAGAGGAGGACCAGTGTAAACCCAAGAGCCATCAAAGATGTTGGAATACAATCTCCCTTCAAGCTCCCGCTTCATAGGCCCCTACAACGGCTCATTTCCATTGAGGGATCTGCCCCGTTGGAAGACAACCGTTTGGCGATCCGGAAGCATGCCAAAACATTTGTTCTCGGTATTCCAGCGCCACGGAAGAACCTGACTGTTGCGTCTTGACGATCCTGGATCGTGCCAGAACGCCATTCTTGGGATGCCAACACCGCGAGCCAACGTAACTGCTGCACCCGCAAAATCGGGAATCCTTGCAAAACATAATGTATGGTACGTTGATCGTGGGAATTCGCAGAACGAGATCGTGAGGCGCTGAGGCGAGACCGCGCTCAATTCGTCAAAGTCTTGCAATTTTGCACAAAGAATGTGCGCGGCGCTTAGGCGAGAGCCACATTTTGAAAACGGGTGATCCTCAATCCGTGAAGTTCTTGCATTTTGTTAGGACGAATGCGCGCGGCGCTGAGGCGAGAGCCACATGTTGAAAACGGGCGATCCTCAATCCGTGAAGTCTTGCAAATCTTTTAAAACGAATGCGCGCGGCGCTGCGGCGAGAGCCACATTTTGAAATCCACCCGCCCTCCATCTGTGAAGCTGTGTCATAAGTCATGAGGAAGTTTCAGGCGAAACTCCCGGCCCGCTCTAAAAACTAGCCTCGGGGTGCGACAGGGAGAAGTTATTGATGAAAGGAAGGGAGGATTTGAAGGAGGAGGAGGAGGAGGAGGAGGAGGAGGAGGAGGAGGAGGAGGTTTTAGGACCAGTCCTATTTTGCGCGATGTGGGAGGGGGGGGGGGGCCCACCAAAACAGACAACCCCCAGGATCCATCCGCTCACAGGGCATGGCGCGTCGCCGGGGCCGCCGCCACGGCACTCGAGGCAAGCGTTCCTGACCGCAGATAGGCCAGCACGCGCCTGAGAGAACCGCTGACCCGCGCGGCCAGGGCAGGTGATCCTGCCGGGCGCACTCCCAGCCACGCCGCGCGCGCGCGCACCGACCCCAGGGGGCCAGGTCCTCCTCCCTCCCCTTTTTTTTTCCCTCTCTCCTCCTCCTCCTCTCCTCTCTCCTCCTCCTCCTCTCCTCCTCTCCTTTCCTCATCCTCCTCCTCCCCCTTCCTCTCCAACTTGCAGGGAATCCTCCAGCCAGCTGGAGATGTCTGCTGTGGCCTCCTGCCTTTCCTCACCTGTTCAGGTGTTAGTTTTGTGCTGGCATTGGCCAGCCAGCCTGCTCTAATTGTCTGGGCAGGCACCCTCATTTGATGTTGATGTTGAAAAACAAATCCTCCTCCTCCTCCTCCTCCTCCTTCCCCCCTCATCCCTCCTCCTCCTCCTCCTCCTCCTCCTCCTCCTCCCCCTCCTCCTCCTCCTCCCCCTGCTGCCCGGACTGGGGCCAGCGTATCTCTTGGCAGCCTCCCAGAGGAGGCCGAGGCGGAGGCGGCCGACCAGGCCTGGGGCAGCCCCGAGGATCGGGCCGGACGAGAGGGCGTGGGGATAGTGGAGCCGTCTGGAGGTCTGAAAGGTGGCATTCCTCGGCCTCCGGGGGGCGTTTTCGGGCCCTCGGGCTGCCGAGGACGGAGCTGGGCCGAAAAAGCTTACCGGGTGGGCCTCGGGATGGACCCCGCGAGGGGTCCTGACCGATTTGGGGCGGATTCGGCTTCATCCCCCTCTCCTGGCAAATTTCTGGGTTCCCAACCGGTTCAGACCCCCTGGCCGCCTCCAAGGTGAGGACGGTCTGTTGTTCCCAATCCTCCTTGGTTGGGTATTCGTTTTGAATAGAGCACTGTGGTCGCGTCCCTCCTTCTCCTCCCGCCTCCCGCCTCCTCCTGCCCTCTCTTCGCCGACGATGGGGGCTGCGATCTGCGACACTGTCGCCACTTTCGAGGGCTGCTGGTGGGTCCTGCGGAGTGAGGCACCGCGCAGATCTGAGCGAGACCTCGCCGTCCCTGGGGGGCTGCGATCTGCGAAACTGTCGCCACTTTCGAGGGCTGCTGGTGGGTCTTGCGGAGTGAGGCACCGCGCAAATCTGAGCGAGACCTCGCCGTGCCTGGGGGGCTGCGATCTGCGAAACGGTCGCCACTGTCGAGGGCTGCTGGTGGGTCCTGCGGAGTGAGGCACCGCGGGGATCTGAGCGGGACCTCACCGTGCCTGGGGGGCTGCGATCTGCGAAATTGTCGCCACTTTCGAGGGCTGCTGGTGGGTCCTGCGGAGTGAGGCACCGCGCAGATCTGAGCGGGACCTCGCCGTCCTTGGGGGGGGCTATGGACATGGCACAGCCAACGGGGGTGATTTTGTGAAACTGAATATCCGCCGGGCGATGACCATAACGTTGTGCTTACACGTATCCCGCGGGGGCTCTCAAGAGCTGCTGTGGGATACGTTGGGTGCAACGGGCGCATGGCACAGCCAACGGGGGTGAGTTGTTGTCACGTAGCCCTTAGATCTTGATCGGGGGCCTGCGAGCCTTCCGATTGCTGCTCGCAAAATCACATGCGTCCATGTTACGTCATCGCCCCCGTTGTAGCAATCCTGACGTACTTATATATGCCCCGCATTGCGCAAGGGTTGGGTACGTCGCCACGGTATTGTTTGTTTTCCTCTCCCCCGTGATCTAGAACTGCCTGCTCGCTTGAGACATGAAGGATGCTGAAGCACGACGGGATGAGGCAGTGCTGCGGCAGTCCCCACTGGGGAAGTGCACAAGCCGCACTGATGATGAGAGTCGTGGAGCTACACCTAGCGCCAGTAGGGCGAGGTCGCAGCGGTGCGTCGGGGGATCGGGAAGGGGGGGCACAACAACTGCAGCCCACAGCTGGTTTCCGCAAAGCCGCCGGGCGCATTCCTCGATTCACCAGCTGGCGCCAGTGTGTCTGAGGAGCTGAGGTGCGTGAGATGATTTGCTGACCCCTCCTTCCAGACATCCTCCGATATGATTTGGCCACCCCGCGACCCCAGAGGTCCCAACCCTCTCTCCCGAGAGGAGTCTTGCGTCCCAGACCTGTGCTGGAGGACCCCGGGGCCCGAACACGGCTCCCCGGGCCGACATGACGGAAGAGCGCCAGGATGAAAAACATCCTGCTGTCGGTTGGTCTGGGAGGGGAGGGGAGGAGGAGGAGGAAGAGGAGGAGGAGGAGGAGGAGGAGGAGGAGGGGAGGAGAGGAGGAGGAGGAGGAGGAGGAGAGCAGGAGAAGGAGGGGAGTGAGGAGGAGGAGGAGGTGGAGGAGGAGGAGGAGGAGGAGGAGGAGGAGGAGAGGAGAGGAGAGGAACGCGGGGCGCTGTCTCTTCAAAACAGGGACCCAGCACCACAGGATGGTCGGGAAGAACATCCTGCTGTAGGTTGGTTTTGGTCTGTGGCCCCCCCGTAGCGCCCGACCCGAGAGGAGGCCGCGCAGGAGCTCAGCGACCTCCGGTGCATGCGGCGGCAGATCCGGTACCTGTTCGGCGGCGGCGTCACCGACCGCTCGGACCACGCCGCAGACGCCCCGAGCCTGCAGGAGTCGAGAGAGAAACCTCCTCACTCACTCACTCATGCCATACGCCGGAGCGCGTGGGCGAAAGAAGACACGGCCGGCCTATCCTCACCGCTTTGCGGGAGCGGCGGCACGACGGCGGTCGCATAATTGACTACATGCGCGGCCAGAGGAGGGGGAGGAGGCGGAGGAGGAGGAAGAGGGGGAGAAAAGGAGGGGGGGAAACCAACTGGCGGAAGGAGGGAGAGAAACCTCCAGGAGGGACAAATTCTAACCGGAGTGCAGCATGCCCAGACAGGGTTTTTAAACCCTTTGCGGTTTCCAAGGTCGATTGCGTGCCCGGTGCGGGCTGGCATGGCACGTGAGAACATGATAGCATGATGTTCGCACACGAGGTGTTTACACGAAAACTTGTTTACACGAAAATTGCTGTGACACAAGTCCACGTCACACTCGCTTCCCGTTAGGTCCTCTCCTGCAACTCCCTTCTTTCTCCTTCCTCCTCCTCCTCCTTTTCCTCATCCCCCTCCTCCTGCCTGCTCCCTCATCCACATCATCATCATCATCATCATCCTCCTCCTTCTCCCTTCCATCTCCTCCTCCTTCTCCTCCTCCTCCTCCTCCTCCTCCTCCTCCACCTCCTCTGAATCCCGAACGGCATCTCGGAGCCCAGAGTTGCGAGGATGTCTCCAGCGTAACGGGCTGGACCACCTCGCGCGCGGCATCTCGGACCCCAGAGTTGCGACGATGTCTCGGGCGAAACGTGCTGGAGGAAGTCTCAGGCGAAACGGGCTGGACCACCTCGAGCGCGGCATCTCAGAGCTCCGAGTTGCGGCGGCCTCCTGGGGCCTCCTGGGGCCTCCTGGGGATCTCCTGGGGCTGCCTCCTGGGCCTCCTGTGGCCTCCTGGACCCCATCTGGGGCTTCCTGAAGCTTCTTGGAGCTCCCAGGGAGGGATATCTAACATGTGGCCGTCTGGGCTCCCCAAAATGGGGGGGGGGGGGGGCACAAGAGCAGGAAAAATCAATGAATCGGCACTGGATGCGTATTAACCTGACACGTTCTCATAGGGGGCCTCCTGGGAGCCTCCGGGGAATCTGTTGACCCCTGGGGCCTGTCCTGGGCGTCCTGCGGCCTCCTGAAGCTCTCTGGGGCCTCCTGGGGCTCCCAGGGTCCCAGGGGGGATATGTAACATCTGGTCTTCTGGGCCCCCAGGCTGGACCACCTCTTGCGCGGCATCTGCAGCTTAGAGTTGCGAGATTGTCTTGTGCGAAACGGGCCGGACCACCTTGCGCACGGCATCTCAGAGCTCAGAGTTGCGAGGATGTCTCAGGCGAGACGGGCCGGACCACCTCTCGCGCGGCATCTCAGAGCTCAGAGTTGCGAGGATGTCTCAGGCGAAACGGGGTGGACCACGTCGCGCGCATGCGAAATGGGCCGGACCATCTCTCGCGCGCGGCATCTGGGAGCTCAGAATTTGGAGGATGGTTTCAGGCGAAACGGGCCAGACCACCTCGCGCGCGGCATCTCTGAGGTCAGAGTTGCGAGGATGTCTCTGGCGAAATGGGCCAGACCACCTCGCGCACGGCATCTCGGAATGGACCACCTCTCGCGCGGCATCTGGGAGCTCAGAGTTTGGAGGATGTCTCAGGCGAGACGGGCCGGACCACCTCTCGCGCGGCATCTCAGAACTCAGAGTTTGAGGATGTCTCAGGCGAAACGGGCCAGACCACCTCTTGCGCGGCATCTCGGAGCCCAGAGTTTCTAGGATGTCTCAGGCGAAATGGGGTGGACCACTTCTTGCGCGGCATCACAGAATTAAGAGTTGCGAGGATGTCTCAAGCGAAACGGCCCAGACCACCTCGCGCACGGCATCTCAGAGCTCAGAGTTTGGAGGATGTCTTAGGCGATCCTGGCCGGACCACCTCTCGCGCGGCATCTGGGAGCTCAGAATTTGGAGGATGTCTCAGGCGAAACGGGCCGGACCACCTCTCACGCAGCATCTGGGAGCTCAGAGTTTGGTGGATGTCTCAGGCGAAACGGGCCGGACCACCTCTTGCGCGGCATCTCGGAGCCCAGAGTTTGAAGGATGTCTCACGCGAAACGCCCAATCCCGGGCCACTCAGAAACGAGAGTTGCGAGAATGTCTCAGGCGAAACGGCCCAGACCACCAATTTTTTTGAGGACGTCTCTGCTTTGAATTCCCCCGGCTCGGAGTTAGCTTCTATCACAACAGCACCCCGTTCAGCAAGCTGTTTGGGGGAAAAACGCACACAGACACGATGAATCGTCGATTCCCCCCCAATTTTGAGAAAATATGGGGAGAAGGGGGAGGATATGAAAACCTGGAAAGCATGTGAGAATATCGGGGGGTCCTGGGATGTTTGCGTGTATTCATGTGTGTGTCCCTGGGGCTTCGCGCCCTCCCCATATCCACAGTTTGCTTGTGGCGGGGCCGCGGCCGCACCAGGAAGTTCGCGATGCATTGAGTCGGGCCTGTCCCTCTACAGGGGGGATATTCAAAAGTAGTCCATAAATAGTCCAGGGACGATGTTTTGAGTAAGTTTGGGGCATCTCTTGAATGTTTCGGGGGTATTTTAAATTCTCCGTCCAGAATCCGCCTGTGGGGGGACATGCCCGACCTAAGCGATGCAACATCGGATGGAGGATGGGGGGCGAGGCGGCGTCACGAGACCAGGGCCCCACGACCACGCAGTCCTACGAAGAACCCGACCCAGACATGACCGCGTCTTTTTGTTATTGTTGTGTAAAAACCCCAAAAGATCAGGACGGCCAGTGTTTCACCGCATTCGGCCCCTGGGGGCCCTCGCCGGGCCCCGGGACCGTCCAGAAACGACTCGGGATGAAACACCGGCCCCGGGGAAAGGGTCTGGACTTCCGGGAACGCCGCACTTACTTGAACAAGAATCAGGACCTCGCACGTCTGGGGGTGCGCCCCCCGAGCCGCCCCCGAATCCCTCGGACTCTCTCCGGGCGTGCACGCACAGTGTGCCGCCTCCCTCGTGGCCGCAGCTGGCTCTCGTGCCCGTGGCGCCCCCCCTCCCTCCGCGAGGAGTTCCTGAAGGGCTCCGGCGCCGAGGCGCCGAACCCGCTGAGCATCCCCGGCTTCCCCATCCCGCAGCCGCCGCCGAGGGCGGCCCGCCAGCCCGCGAGGCCGCCCGGACTCCAGGGCAGGGGCCGCACGATGTCCTCGACGGCCTCGTCCAACACGGACGTGGCCTTCAGCAGGGCCGGTGCGGAGGCCACCCGCGCCGCGGGCCCTCCCCTCGCTCTCTTCCTCCTCCTCCTCCTCCTCCTCCTCCTCCTCTTCCTCCTCCTCTTCCTTCCTTCCTTCCTTCCTTCCTTCCTTCCTTCCTTCCTTCCTTCCTTCCTTCCTCCCTCTCCTCCTCCTCCTCCTCCTCCTCCTCCTCCTCCTCCCTCCTCTCTCGATCCTCGATCCCTCGCCTCTCCTCCCTCACTCCTCTCCTTTCCTCCTCCTCCTCCTCCTCCTCCTCCTCTATTCCTTTTCCTTATAAATGATTTCTCCCTGTCGCACCCCGAGGCAAGTTTTTAGGGCGGGCCAGGCGTTTCGCCTGAGACTTCATCGCCACTTCTGATTCTGAAGCTGAAAATAGGCAACATATTCACAGATGGAGGCCGGGTGGTTTTCAAATGGTGGCTCTCGCCTTAGCGCCGCGCACGCTCGCTTCAAACAAATTGCAAGAACTTCACGCGTTGAGGATAACCCGTTTTCAAAGTGTGGCTCTTGCCTTAGCACCGCGCACATTCGTCTTAAACATATGCAAGAGCTTCGCGGAGTGAGGATAACCCGTTTTCAAAATGTGGATCACCGGTTTTCAAAATGTGGCTCTCGCCCTTACCGCCGCGCACATTCGTTCTAAACATTTGCAAGAGTTTCACGGTCTGAAGGCGGTTCCTTTCAAACTGGGGTTCTCGCTTCAGCGCCGCGCACATTCGTTGATACAATTTGCAAGAATTTCAGGGGCTCCCACGATCAACGTGCCAGAAATATTGTATTGGACGGATTCAGGATTTTGCGGGTGCAACTGTGACGTTGATTCGCGGTGTTGAGATCCCGAAAACGGCGTTCTGGCATGATCCAGGATCGTCAAGACGCAACAATCCGGTTGATCCGTGGCGCTGGAATCCCGAGAACAATGTTTTGGCATGCTTCCGGGTCTTCAAACGGTTGCCTTCCAACGGGGCAGATCCCTCAATGAAAATGAGCCGTTGTATGGGGCCTCTGAAGAGGGAGCCTGGAGTGACGGTGTATTCCAACATCGTTGATGGTTCTTGGGTTAGCATTGGTCCTCCTCCTCCTTCTCCTCCTCCTCTTGCTCCTCGTCCTCCTCCTCCTCCTCCTCCTCGTCCTCCTCCTCATCATTTCTCCTCGCCCTGTTCTGCATTATCCACCTCCTCCTCCTCCCAATCACAAGCGGCTCGAGGCGGGTCCACAGACATTTCTTTCGGCCCCAACCAGTCTCGACGCCGTGCCTCGGCGGCTCACCGTATCGTGCTTGTGGCACCCAAAGCGGGTGTTCGTTCGTTGACGCTTACGAAATGGTGACTAAGAGAAGTTGTGCCGTTGTCACGATTGAGCGTCGTGGAGCGAGCCCCCCATCAATCCAACATGTCGAGTGGAGGCGACGAGCGTTGAGGAGATTGCATTTGGCAATGGGTCGCCAAGCGGCGCTCGATTCTTGACTTGTGGCCGCGGAGCCATTGCGAGATCTTCAGTGAGTTCCAGTCTGGCCGCCGACCGCCAGAATGGGTACACTCCAGCATGCGAGAATGGCGCAGCGGCTGCAGACGCATTGTGGGCGGACCCTGGCGCCCTCAGCTACAGTGCTTGAGTTCTGGCGTTCGCGAAAAGTGTTCATTGCAGCAACTCCTTGCGTGAAGGTTGCCCAGTGGCAGTCCACGCCGCCATCTGCTTCAGCAAATGGCAACAGCAGGTGTGGAGCCAAAAATGGCAGCCCAATGCCAGCAACTCCCGCTATGGGTCTACAGCACGTGGGAGAAACAGGCAGTGGCAGCAAGCCGGGGGATGGTGGCGCAAGCCCAATGTCGATTGGTACCGTGTTGGTGCCACCACATCATAAGACGAACATGAGCAGTGGCAGTCTGTTGACGGATGAATATGGGAGCCCAGCGGTATCCGCTGACTTCGTGGAGTTGCCGTCTGTGAGAAACAGGTGTGGCAGGTGTTGAACCCAAGATGGGAGCCCATGCCATGAACCACAGCAGTGGGCTTACAGCGTGTGGCAGCAGAAAGCAGTTACAACAAGCTGGCGGATTACGGAGAAAGCCCAGCGTTTATTGCTACGGTGCTGGAGTCACCACAGATAAAACAAAAACAAAAACAGGCAGCGGATGTAGGGATGGATTTTGGAGCCCAGCGCCATCAGTTGGTGTCGTGGGTTCAAGTCCGTGCGACGAGGTGGAGCCGTGGCCGCAAATTGGTTTTGAGACCAGCCGTGGCTACCGCTGATGAGCGCTGCGCAGCTTCACCGCGGCAGCACGGGCTTTCCGAGAAAAAATGGAGCGGTTGATGCTTGTGGGTGTCAGGAGACCATCGCGGGCATGGGGCCGAGAGCTGTGCCGTCAGATGCAGTTGCCTCCCGCATTTGGCGGGGCATCCCAGGAGCCAAGTAGAGGAATCTCAGTTCCAACGCTGTCTCATCGGAGCCCCATCCTATTTCACGCACCAGCTGGGATAGCGCATCGTGGCGCAATCGGCAGATGTCCGGCCAGGATATGTTGCTGCTCAGAGCGACGCTGCATGCAATCACCGGACAGCTCGCCCCTTGGCCCCCCGTAAGCCCCACGCTAAGGGGCGAGCATATATACGGGCGCAGCACCGCTGTATGCGATGCATTCGGCTGGGCCAGGCAGGGGAAGACCCAATACTGCATCCAATGTTGAACGTGATCCATATTCCAACGCTGCGGTTGCATGGTGCGCCCCGAACCCCAGACCAACGAATTGAGCCTCAGCCCAATGTCGAACGTGATCCATATTCCAACGCTGCGGCTGCGTGATGCGCCCCGAACCCCGACCAACGAATCCGCCGATCACTCCCGACCGCCCGTGCGTGGCACATGGTGCTGCTTGGTTACGTCTGGAACGTATCCTAGGCCGATCGCGCGCGATCACATTGGCAGCGGCGGTGGAAGCGATGCTCCGCGAAGTTGGCGGCGTGGCGCGGGTCGCGGGCGAGTTGGCGGAGGCCGCCTTGCAGCTGGAACCGCCGCGGCAGGGAGTGGACCTCGACGCGACGGCCAAGCAGTCCAGGGCGCTGGCGCCAACATGCCGAGTGTTCGCGCCGGGCCTTCCGGCTCGTCTTCGACGCTCCCGTGGCGCGAAGGCTGCGCGCGGCGAGCGGAACCTCGGCGCGGACGCCGCGCGCGGCGAGGGGGTCGCTGGGGCTGTCAGGCAGGACGCGCTCGCCCGGGCGGGCTCGCGGCCGCGGCGCGCGCATCTGCCCCGGGGAAGAGCTGCGCGCTGGGCGGCGAGGCTTCGACGTTACCGGAGGAGGAGGAGGAGGAGGAGGAGGAGGAGGAGGAGGAGGAGGAGGAGGCGGAGGCGGAGGCGGAGGCGGAGGCGGAGGCGGAGGAGGAGGAGGAGGAGGAGGAGGCTGGAGTCTCACGCGGCTTCGACGTCACCGGCAGTGCGGCCATGGGGCCAGGCGAGCCGCGGCCTTGGAGTCTTCGCTGCCGCTGCTCCCCGCGCAGGAGCGCTCGCGCGCGCGCGGTGACGAGGCGGCGCCGGCCATGATTGCGCTCTGGGCGGCCTGGGCAGGGCTCCTTTCGATTTCTCCGGTTCGCTCTCGATGGATTCCGATTCCGATACGATTCGGCTTTGGATTCCGATTTGGATTTCGATTTCTCATCGCCGATTCGTCTTGTCGAATCGATCATGGGCTCTCCTGCCTTGGGGCGATGGAGTTCCAAGCGCGCCGTGGAATGCGGCATCCAGACCCGCGCTGCGACGCATTGGACGCAGCGCCGCGGGCCCTCCTCGGCCGCCCGCCCGAACGATCAGGCGGGAAGTGCTCGATGGCCGCGCCTGGAAATCTCGTGGGGGCGAGTGCTGGGCGCATTCGAGCTGGCGCCGCAGGTTCTCGAGCGGTTGCCTTGGCGCGCGGCGCTGGCGCGGCTGCGGCGGCAAGTCGGCCGACGCGCTGGGCCTGGAAATTTGGCCGGTGGTGACGTGCTGGAGCCGCGCGTTCTGATGGCCACCGGTTGCCGCGTCCAAACTGCCGCTGCACAGCTGGCGCGCATGCTCCGCTGCCGCCCGCAGCTCGCCACGCCCGAGCGCAAGACGCAAGCTGCGGGGGCTTCGACCGAAGCAGCGTGGACCCCGCGTCGCCCAGCCTGGCCGCGCCCGGCGCCGCGTCGCGCTTCTCCTTCAAGGAAAGAGGCTACTAGCCGTCGGTCATTGTTGATGGGCGGTGATCTCAGCAGCGGAAGCGCGCGTGCTGGATGGCCGTCAGCGACGTGTTTTCTGTAGTGATGTGGGCGCGCTCCTTCGTTGGCGCTGCGGCTGTAGTTGTGGCCTCGTGGAATTTGGCTACCTGCAGGTCCGAGGTGGCGCGCCTGCTGGAGCGGGCGACGCGGCCCTTGCCTCGCGGGCTCGCCACGCCGCCCAGGACCGACCAGGCGCGCTTGATCGGCGAACAGCATAGATGTCGCTCGTCTGGCGAGGGCGAGGGCCGGGCGGTTCTGGCGCCACCGCCGGCTGCAGGCGCGTTCTCGGTGGGTGCTTCGGCCATGCTGCGCGGCCCTTTCGGCCCACCCGGCGGCCCGCATAACATTTGGCACTGATTCCGCGACGGCGATTGTGGGCAGCAGCTTCGTTTTCCTGGGAGTGGCGGAGGTGGGCCGCGGGGCGACCACCTCGCACGTGCACGCTTGGTCACGCGCGTGACGATGGGTGCGGCGGCTGTTGGATGAGTTTGGTGGCGTTGGCGAGCACGGCCTACTGCCGCGAATGGTGCTTGTCCACCAGTCGCGCCGCCAAGTTGCCGAAGGCAAGATCGCCAACCTGGACAGGCGCGGCGACAGGCTGGCCCATCGTGCGGCCAAAAGCGCAGATGCCCACGCACGCTTGGACCTGGATGGCAGCGGTTGGTGGCTTCGCATAACATCTTGGAGGGCGCGTCGCTGTGGACGTCTGCCGTGGGTGTCGCAATCGGCGATGTGGACACAATCCACCGAGTGGCCAAGCTCAACGCGCTGG